CTTGTAATTTTAACATGTTATTTCTTCTTTTTTTTTGGGTCTTTCTATAATCCATATTAGAGTTCCATAAATGTGTATTGAACTTTCCTTTATATCACTATGTTTTGTTGATGTAATCACAACTTTTTTGAGTTATATAAATATTATTAAACTTTTTGCAATTTCATTTCTAGACATCTGAGAAAATAACATTCTGCTACACAGATTATTCATTCAACTCAAAAAATTTACAAATAAACTGTTTACAAAACGCACAAACCAAACAGCTGAACTGTTTATTCAGACCAGAGGCAAAAGGGTCAATTTTTCACAATCAGCTGTTTTCCAGACGCGTTAACCAAACAGCCACATAACTTATCTGGATCAGCTGGTCATCAACAGATTATCAGAATAAGCTGCTTATCAGCAGAAGCTAAATAAGCTGCAGCTGCCCAAAGAGACCCAAACAGACCCAAACAGACCCTGCCGCAATGTCCTTCGGCTACTCTTCTATCTTCTCTACCCATCAACTTTCTAGTGTTCGGCTTCCCCTCCCTCTTCTCATTAATGGAATCATCCCGCCCGAACCCCACCCAACCTTCTTCATCTCTTCGTTACTGCTACTGCCGCTGTTTCCGCCGATGCTGCCGCTGTTTCTGTTGTTGCTACTGCTGTTCTTCCCCGGCCGATTCGTGATTTTAAGGATTGTGTAAGGATTTGGGGACTTCTTGTGTGGAACTCTCCCATCAATCAAACCTTCGGCAGGGCTTGAAGTTCAACGATTGCCGATTACGTATGGTTCCCGCAGCAGCTGATCGGTCAAAAGTCGGAAAATTTGCGCGTTGGCTCCGTCGTTCTTCATGACGAGGCTGATTCCGAGGATGGGCAGAGAGTGGAGTTCAGCATGCTCTATGAGCTTCGAGCTGCAGCGAGGGGAATGCTCATCTTCGTGTTCTTCTCCATCCATTTTTCCATCCAAGGGAGCGTCAATGGAAGCTATCTTTTGTCTGTAACTGGTGGGATCGTGCATGAGATCATGGACAATTTGAGGCAGAGGCAGATCATGGGAATCGAGCTAATCGCCTAGGAAAATTATGTTTACCAGGCAGTTCTCGATGCGCTAGGGAGTTATTTGACAAACAAGTATTCGGAGGAAACACAGGGGGAATCAATTCATTGTTATAATTGATCGTTTGTGTTGCGAGCGAGCTTTGGTGGCGTTTATTCTTGATCCAGATTGCTGGGGTGTGAATGTTTAGCCGTTCTTTTGTACATCTGCGAACTTCGCCTGTCCAAAGAACTGGCCATGGGATTAGATTCACTTTCTGGTGAGCATGTGAACCATAGCCACGGATACATACGCCAAGTAGGACAAGCATATCAGGAACGTCCAGGGTCTTCGGCAGTCTGTCATATAAGCTGAATTCTAAGACGGGGCTCATTGATTACGACCAGGTTGATGAGAGGGCCATGGATTTCCATCCAAAGATACTGATTTGTGGAGCCAGCTCATATTCGAGGGAATGGAATTATGCAATGTTTAGGTAGATAGCTGATAAGTGTGGCGCTGTTCTGTGCGCTACATGGCTGATATCAGTGAACTTGTGGCCGCCAAGGTTTGCTATTCCCCTTTGAAATATCATCTCCCTCGTGAATTGTTGGCTAGGGAGGTCTAATTTACTTTCTTTCATATGAATATTTGGCACTTTTTCAGTTTCCCTTGAAGGGATCCAGATATATTTCTAATCTCATGTTTGGTAGTTTAATAACTGTTATTAAATCAAAGTTCAACATACTCATAATTGCGTATTCATTTCTTTTTTTATTTAATTTTTTTGCATTATCATATCTGTTCAATCAAATTTTTATTTAATATTATTTATTAGAATGAAAGCAAAGAAAAAAGGCATTCAACGTATTTGCTCAAAATATTGACATGATATCAGAGTGCTTTGTTCCAGTTTGCTTTGTCCGCCTTCAATCTTCGACTACGTCATCTCCCTAATCCCGTCTCCAGGCAGCAAGTCTTTCGTCCACTTCTAGTGGTTCCGTCTCCCGTGTCTAGTTACAACTCTAATCTGTGATCCTGTCCATCTCGCTCGATGCTGTAATCGAGATTGAGAATCATGAGATCTAGGTCCATGGCTAAGGATCTTTCCGGTACCATCAAGGAGATTCTGGGCACCTGCGTCTCTGTTGGCTGCATTGTTGATGGCCATGATTCAACGGATTTGCAGACGGAGATTTCGGAAGGTGATTATGAGGTTCCGCTCGCTTTTTGGGAATTGTTTGTCATCATCTTCGAGCTCATTCCATCTTCGTCGGCTGCTTCCTACGTCTTCGACTGCAAATCGCCGAAAGTTTTGTCTGCTTCGTCCACTTCGGCTTCATCCGAACGCCATCGTCGTCTTTGCTAGCCTTCGCTCCTTCTGCGGCATCTTTAACTGTTTCTTTGTTGCTTCATCGCTCGCTTCGTCGAATTTGTTCTGCGACATCTTAGACTGCTTCTTCCACCTTCAACTTCTTCTTGTGAGTCTTCCTCCGACCACTTCTTGTGAGTCTTCAACTGTTTCCACTCGAGGATCGTCGGCTTCGACTTCGTCTTCTTCGTCGCACTCAAGTATCGCAGGCTTCGGCTTCAGATTCCTCTCCTTTGGTTTTGGATCGAATTCAAGGAAATGCATGAATATTTGGTTCTCTTTGGTTTTCTTTTGGTTTCTTTTGATTTTTTTGGATCTCTTGGCTTTCTTTGACCTTAGGTCAATTTCAATCAGCAATTTTCTTGGTAATCAACTTGTGAGTGACAATTCTATTTAGAATGTCTTCTAAAATCTTAACTATCAGATTTACGGGAAAGAATTATGCAGCATGAAAATTTCAGTTCGAGATGTTTTTGAAAGAGGATACTTGAAGGAGCGTCATCAGTTTCTTGTTGACAAATTGATGCTTCTTGATCAGTCAGCATCAATTTGAGGGGTGATATCAATCAAAAATCTCAGAAATCAGACAGTTGAATTAGGACTTCCCTATAATTAGGAGTTTCTTTATTTATCCTTATTTAAATTATTTCCAAATTTCTCTCTTCTGATTTATTTCTTTTAATTGTACATATTCTCTTCTTATTTAAATTAGGAATATTTATTATGTTACCTAAAAGAGATTTTAAGACTATTATTTATTGGAATGAAAGCAAAGGAAAAATGCATTCAACTTATTTGCTAAAAACATTTACAGCTTTTTGCTGATGATATCCTTCTCATGGATAAGACGAGATAAAAAACCAAGGAAAAACTTGAATTATGGAGGTCTACATTGGAGTCTAATGGCCTTCATTTGAGTAGAACTAAAACTGAATACATGAAATTTAGTTTTAGTAGTAGTAGCTCTAGTGATAGAAGTGTAACTTTGGGTGATCAAATTATTAAAATGTGTGAATGATTTAGATATCTCGGGTCTGTTGTTCAAAGCGATGGTGATATAGATGGGGATGTTAATAGTAGAATTCAAGTTGGTTGGTTGAAGTGGAGGAATGCATCGGGCTTTTTGTGTGATAGAAAAGTACTGCTTAGACTGAATGGAAAATTTTATAAGACGGTGGTGAGATCTGCAATGCTTTATGACGCTGAATGTTGGCCTTTAAAAAAGAAGCATAATACTAAGTTAAGTGTTGTTGAGATGAGAATGAGTAGGTGGATGAGTGGCTTTACACTTAGAGACAAAATGCGAAATGAATATGTTGGTGTAGCTCCTGTAACGGACAAAATTAGAGAAAGTCATCTTAGATGGTTTGATCACATTAAGCGTCGACCATTTGATGATCCAATTAGGAGAGTAGATGTTTTAGATTTGACTTATGTTAAGAAAGACAGAGGTAGGCCTAGGAACTTGGGCTTATTGTATAAAATGCTCTTAATTTATTAGAACTAAATGAAAATATGACTCTAAATAGGATGCAACGGAGAAAAAAGATTCATGTAGCCAAACCTATGTAGTGGGATTAAGGCTTTGTTGTTGTTGTATCATATTTGTTCAATCAACCGTAGCTTTGAGAAAAAAATTTGCATCCGTACTTCTTGATGTTGGTTTATACTGCGAAACAGATTGATGATCTTCATTTTATATAGGAGCTGATTCACAGTTTTTTTTTTTTTTTTTTACTTTCTGAAATAGAAAAGGGAGCTTTTTTCAATTCATAAGATTGAAATGGAAGAGTTAATATCAAATGATAGTTTGGCAGCCATAATATGAGAAATAGAGAATCTTCTCTTACTTTCCTTGCTACAAGAAAAATCTTTTTCCTGAATTTTTTTATTATTCTCGCATGCACTAATTAATTTGAGTGTAGCAAAGAGAAAATATCAGCATGGATGCATGATAAAATTAAAAATGACGTAGTAAGAAGGGAGAACCGCCTATTAAGGATAAATCAGCTGATGACAGATTTGGCCATTTATAGGTGGTTTGAACATGGAAAATGGAGTGCAAACGATTTTGCATTCCAACATTGAAATATAATTGATGTTGAAGTGTAGGAATCAGGAGTAGTTCTAAGATAGCATTAATTAAATTTGTACTTGAACATAAAGTTGTATTGACACATGTATTTAACTATAATGAAACGGAGTTTCATGTATGCTGGACCAAATAATTATAACTTGTTGTTGATGCTGATGATCTCATGCACATTTGAGCATTTTTATGCTCCATTTTTTCTTGAAGCATCCTCAAAAGTTTTACCGATTGTTGTTGAATGCCTGTTATGCACATTTTTTAAGGGATGTTTGGTTGAGTGAAATTATGGTGCACTGTAATTATTTTGCCGAGATTTGAAAAAATTGTGTTTGGTATGAATAATTACAAATGCATTATAAAACACGAATGCATTTAAAGTTTACACCGAGTTCATTTTCGCTGAATTTAGAATTCGGTAGATTTGGTTGAATTTGAATTACACCGTTCTTCATATCAAATGCTTCCAGTAAGCCGCAACCCTTGCCCGCCTGCCACCTGCAGCCTGCAGCCTGCAGCCATTGCCAACCGCTTGCTATAGTTCCTGCCCCACCCCCCCCCCACCCTCCCCCCCCCCCCTGCCTCTAAGTGCGCTGCCCTGCCCCCCAACCCACCGCTGCCAAACACTTGCCGAACCCCCTCCACCTGCAGTGTACATGCGTGAATATTCCTCTAAGGAGTAAAACTGATTTCAAGAAACACCAATGTACCTCTAAGGCCGACATTTATGTGGACTTAATCTATCATATTCTTAGTTTTTTATCGTGATGTTGTGAAGGTTTTATAGAAATATTTTGCTGTCAAATTTGGAATGGTGCATGTAATCAGTAAATTTCTTATGATAATTCACTTTTGGATTGGCTAGGACATTGAGCTAGGGCTGTAAACGAGCCGAGCTTGAGCGAGCTCAGGCTTGGCTCGTGTTCGGCTCGTTCGAAATAACTCGTGTTCGAAATCGGCTTGTGTTCGAAATCGGTTCGTGAACAGTGTGTTTGTGTTCGACTCGATTTAAATAGTCGTGTTCGTGTTCGGCTCGAAATTGACTCGTTAAACTAAAATTGAGAAAAATAGATGCAAAGTGTGGGATTCGAACCTGGATCAAATCTATACAAAAAAAGACACTAACCACATTACCACATGAGGTGTTATGATTTAAACTTAGACATAAATATATATAATATAGTATTATATAAATAATATATGTAATATATTATTGTATAAAATGTTAATATAAATTTTTTTTTGAGCCATTTCGAGCCGAACACGAGCGAACAAACTGTTGTTTGTGTTCGACTCGTTTACATTTCGAGCTTAAAAATTTATTCGTGTTCGGCTCGTTCGTTAAGCCTAACGAGCCGAACACGAGCTGCTTAACGAGCCAAACACGAGCTGTTCACGAACAACAAGCCAAATTGACAGCCCTACATTGAGCATGACATTATAATTTGTTTGACAGAAACAAATGATGTTTTAGAAATGGGAATATGCTATTTTTCTACTCCATTTTTTGGTTCTAAGTTAAGGTCTCCGTCTCAAGGTGCCAACGTTGAAACATAAGTTATTTCTCAGAATGATATCTACCTAATGAAATTTGGTCCTATTAACTATCAAATGCATAATCAATTATTCAGAAAAGCAAGCTTCTTTTAGACAACTTATTGATATGTTCTAGGAACTAGATAAATTTTTGCAGAAATTAGGGTAAAAATAATCGAAACGATACAATCCCGAATACATAAAGTGTAGACAAATATAATTTGAGAGGTAAATGATTTCTCCCAAACCCTAACTCTAACCTTGGTTAAAATTCAAGACAACAATCTCATAACCTAACCTTAAACATTTTAAGCATTATTTATACTCCACAATAATAACTAACAAATGACTAGATTACTCTTTTAGTCTTATGCCTAACATAAGTTTTCAAACCGTTTTTGTAAGCTCAATGTCGACTCAATAGAGTAAGAGGCGGACGGTGTTGTAGGCGCCGATTTAACATTATTCCCATCCCAAAAAGATACCGTCCTTAAGATGGAAGAGTTGAAACTCTTGCTCGGTCAAGTCATATGACTCCCACTCATAAACTGGCTTAAGTCTGGTTCTTGTCGTTAACATTTGATTTAAAAAAGCGAGGGGTCATTAACACTACATGAAGAATGCGCCTAACCCATAATTTGAAGCATTATTCTCTACAATGAATGGTTGGGTGAAATTATGTAATGCCTGCACTAGTACGCTCCTCATGAACCTCTTTTACTTCTCAAAAGCCTGAGTCGCAGCTTTCTCCAACTGAAAAGTTATCCTTCTTCAATTACTCTGTCAACGTTCACCCAATCGAATTGTAACTCTTCACCAACTTTTGGCAATATCCTGCAAATCTTAGAAATCCTCTCAAATCCTTTAAAGTCTTAGGTAGTGGCCAATCCAAGCCAACATAGATACCACCCTGAGTATCGTCAACACCTTTAAATGCTTAATGCAGCTTTCCCATGAACGGCTATATATCAGGATATCGTGAAAGATGTAATAACCAGTAAAAAAAGATATAATATTAATAATCAAATAGACATAATGATAAGCACCTCTTTGTTCCGTGCACCTCTTCATTTCGTCTTCAAGAGTCGCATGTCTCTATTGAAGAGCAGAAACAGAAAGGCTGAAGGAGAAGCAAGAAGAAGTGGGGATAGAGAAAGTGAGGAAGAAGATCGACAAGGAAAAAGACTTACTGTATTACCCTAGAGGCGACACCGTGAAACGGAGGGTAGCAATCGACTTTAAAGCGTAGATGAAAGAAGGAGAAAAAGTTTGTTGACGTTGTGTGCACGACGTCGTTGCCCGCAACCTAAGGTAGAGGAGGAAGAAGGAGGAGGAGGCACCGTTGAGGGTTTGCGATATGTAGTTGGCCGCGACCCAAGGTAGGTGGGCCGAAGCACTATCAGGCATAGACAATGAGGCCTTGTGGGGTTTATGCGGTGC